CTGTTCGCATGCAAAAACAAGCCACTTCCAATCAGCTCCCAAGCCCACGCTTTGCCTCCTGGGACCGCGCAGCCAGACTCCAGCAGAGCATGCTGGCTGCTGGCACATGAGGCAGCCTTGCCAGGGCACGGCTCCTTCCCCAGCTCGCATCCCACCGGCACTGCCCCGCAGCTGCGAGTCCCCTGCCAGCAGGTACCGGCAAGGCCAAGAGGTGCCATGGAAAAGCTGTCAGTGAGAGGGAGAAAGGTCACTGAGCAGTGACTTATGCTCATAATCAGTTCATAGGATTTGTTAACAAAGGCTCACCAGCTGGGAACTCGCCATGACCGACTCAGCTCAGCTTCAGCACAGCAGCGCCTTCCCATGCAGGGGGTGCTACACAGACAGGGTTTACTGATGGTCCTCAGCTGTCCAGATGCAAGCACCACAGCAGGGCCATTGTAGCACGAGCCCATCTAATAAAAGCCATCAATTAATACTTCCTGGCAGCCCAAGGGAAGAATGGCCACAGCTGGGTTCCTTGCCTTTCCTCCCCCAGAAGAAAGGGGTCTCAGGAAGCAACGTGAGTACTTCCAGGATGTGAGTCAGTTTTTTTTTGCAGGAATTTCTGGCCATACCTGCTGTTCCAACAGTGCCACCCAACAGGAGCTACAGGTCTGACTCACCTAATGCGAGTGCCAGCCCGAAGGAACATGAACGCACCCTCTGCTGACGCTGTTTGCAGGCTTCGCTCCACCAGGTAACCCTGACACACCTGCTGCAAACAGCCCTGACCCAACACCTGCTGCTCCAGCCTGGCAGCCACCGATGAGGAGAGCCAGCTCAGCACAAGTCAGAGCTGTGCCAGAGGGAAGCCTTCGGCACACAAGAATGAATCTATTTGCTGCCTAAGTGTTTTTTCTCAGCTCAAAGGATTTGTACCAGTTTCTAGCTTTACCTCTCTGCTCTCCTCCCCACTGCCTCACTGCAGCTGCCTGTATGCCGAGGCAGGCAAACGTGACCCTGCTCCTCTCTGCCTGTCCAGGGCAAAGCCCTGCCTTCAGCTGCCTCCAGATGAGGAACCCCCACCAGCAGAGGCCAGCCAGCTTGGTTCAGCAACAGGAACTGCTTTTGAACACCGGAGCCAGTTGCAAGCCCCAAGCTGGTCCTGGGGCCAGCCCACCGTAGCTGCTTGGGGACAGCAGGCTTTGTGAAAAATCAGTCCTTGTAGTTGTATAGGGATGAGCTCAAGGACCTTAAAACTACTGATGCTGCCGAGAAGTGGAGTTACCAGTTGCTGTACAAAAACTATGATGGAAGCACTTTCAGCAGCGAGGGTGAGCCAGACAGACAACTGGGTAAGCTCTGCCAAGGAGACCAGACCAACACCCCAGGCGCTCTCAATTAAACACATCTGACAGTCTCATCTGCAAAAGTCCCACTGTGCTTCTTTGGCATCCGTATGTGCCGCAGTAACACAGAAGGGACTCATCCAGCGTATGAGGAAGGGAAGACTTGTTCCTCATGGCCCTGGTCTGGTGGACCACAAGGTCCCACAAAGCACAGCTGAGTCATGCAAGCACCACTACCCCATCTCCACTCATTATCTGAACTGTGCTGAGCCAAGCACCTGCCTTGTGTATTTACAGGGCTGTAAAGGATAAGGCCCAGATTTATCATGACATGCAGGGGCTTTGACTGCAACAAGGAAAGCTCAAAAGCCAGTCTACCCTGTATGACAGCACGTACGCTCATTTCAAGGTCTTCCAGTGATCTCAAACTGCCTTCATTCAACAAAAAGTTCAAAGTCTGCCATCTGCAAAGTAGCTCAAGGCTCACCATTATTTCAAGGGTGGCATAGAACAGGGAGCAGTGAAGTGAGCCAGCAGCCTGCTCTTCAGGACGCAACCAGTGCACACAGCAACTCTTGAAAGACCTTCTCTGCCAGCTACGCTTCAAACTCAGAGGGGGAAAGAAATAAAGACCAGCTGTGTTTACAGAAGACAATCCGCATTATCAACAGGAACAAAAGTCTCTTTGGGAGGGGAGGGAAAACAGAACAGTTAAGACTGAACGTGCTCAGGTACTTCTAGAAGCAGCCCCTGGTGTCAAACTGCCAAGCTGTTCTCTGAAAAAAGAGCTACATCACCTTCGCAGTTATTTTACTGACAGAAAACCTGGAAATCTATTCACCCTGGGCTTGTGTGAGGCTACTCCCTGGCTCCTCCCGACTTCCAGCTACCTGAATTCAGCACTGGCAACAGTCACATCTAAGAATATCTCACATGATGTAAAAAGTCAAGTTCACATCTTAATTTAAAAGACTTCACACCTTTAGCATTGAGCTTGCCAAAGCAGCTCAGCCCACCGCGGCTCCTTTAAAAACAAGGACACAGCCCTGTGTTTTGGACAGTCTTCCTTTAACACACCACCTTCCCTTCGTGGTTAAGGACAACACAGGCCTGGGTCTATTTTGAAAAGCTCTGTTAACGCAGCTGAGAACGATGAACGTCCTTGTGTCCTAGCACAACAGTCAATCCCAATGCATTGCATACAGACCTGGCACCACCCTCCCCCCTTCCTGTTTAACCCTGGATAATAAGGATTACATTAAAGCGCCATTTCCACATTAGAACACGGCATGAACGCCATCCTTCCACTCAGGTCCAATTATGAGGGCGGGCACTTCCTCTGTGTGTCCCTCGCCTTGCATTTCCAGAAGCATTAGTGCTCAGAGCAGACAGCTCTTCCTCCCAGCCCACTTTTCCCTTTTTGTCTGGAGCCTGCCATGCTCATAAACTTGTGTTATGACATCAAGCTGATATGAAATCATGATGATTTCATTGCAATTAAGTAAGGGCCAGATGGGGCTGACAGAGCTGGCTAAGCAACAAATCTTCTAAATTGGAGAATGCAGTAAAGAGAAATTAAAGTCTTATGCAAAAAGCCAATTTAGGATCATGGAAAAAATTCCAGCTGGAAGGGACTGCAGGGGGGCATCTAGCCCAGCCTCCTGCTCAAAGCAGCCCAGATATCACCTAGGCACCTCCACCTCTGCTGCAGCTCATTTTCAAAAAAGCACAGCACACAAAGCCTGTAAGACTTCCTGCAAATTGTAAGCAACGTACCTGAAAAAGCCAACAGAAAATAAGCAGAACAATGCAATAGCAGAACAAGGCACCCCGTAAACTTGAAAAATAATCCCCATACAAAAAGAATTCAACAGAAAACAGCAAAAAATAAATTAGGATGGGACATGCTGGACAAGCTTGACACACCTACCAGAAACATATCTACCATTCAGAGAATGACAGCATTTAACACAGCCAGGGCTTGAATTCACCACTTCTTACCAATACCCCACACCACGCAAAACAGTAGGCAAGGCAGCAAGAGCGATGTCACAGAGACCTAGAGCAGTCTGTCCCTCTTTCAGAGCCTTTTATGGGAGAAAAGAAAAAGGCTCTCAATTGCTTGTAACAATGAATGGCTTAAACAGGTTAAAAATAATGAACCAGTATGCTGCACATATGACCACTCCACACTCCAAATTAAGCAAGCCTTTAAAAGGCAGCCTTAGGACGCCTCTCAGAGTTGTTATAAGAAGGTTAATAAATTGCTTTGAAACTTTGTACATAGCTTAGGAAGATGACTAACACCTGTTGTCACAGCCTAACATCATTACCTGAATTCTAGCACTTTCCACAGAGCATGAAATTGTAGTTCATTCACTTTATGGCCTCTGTTATAACTACTTGTAAAGGACCTGGGAATTGCTTGCAGAAGCTTTTGACCTTTCAACACAAAACCTTTGCAGAGCTGCAACTGTAAGTCAAGGTCCACATAGTTTTCAATGCTTTCGGTTTTAAGTCTGTTACAAGCCAAACAGATTATACAGCAAGTGAGTGTTCAGTATCACAGCATCTCTTTAAGGAAGGCTGCCATCTCATTCATTGTTCAGCATGTCTGCTGCAGCTGGTTTTCTGCAAAGCAGCACGATACAGCTGACAACTCAAGCTCACGCTTCTGTGCGGAAGCAAACTCTATTAATACACCATGTCTGAAAGACTAACAGGACTCCACGCTCCTCCACAGCACAAGGCTTGCAGTTGCAAGAACTACAAACCAATGCACATTGACACTCCAAGCACATGAACTGTTCTTGCTTACAGTGCTCATCAAGGGCAGTTTTACTTCTAAAATTTTACAACCCCCCTCAAAGTCATGAGTAAATTTAATGGACAGAGGAAATAATTTCTTCTTCTGAAACCAAAGTATTTCCACAGACTTTCAAATACCTCATGTCAAAACAAGAAAAGTGGTGCCAAACCAATTCCAAGCAGCCACTCTGAAAACAGCTGCCAAGAAGGCATTTCACCAGTGCTTCTTCCCCTTCTGCCAATGCATGTTGTCAGATGCATTGCCTAGACAGCAGAAATCATATGTAAGGACACAATAACATAGTGTTCTAGATACCAGTTCTTAGAAACACACCAGTTTCCATATGAGGCATTGCTCGTAAAGCATTCGTATTTGGAAAGGGCAATACTGAGAGCCCGGGAAAACATCCTGGCCAGAAAAATGAGCTACATTTCTTCTTCCACCTTCCAGGTAACAGAGAGAGACCACCCTGCCTTAGACGACAAGTTTCCAAATGCGCACCGCTACTTCTGAAGCCCAACAGACTTCTTGCCTCCCTGTACTCACAGGTTATCTACACAAAAAGTTTATTAGCACACAATGTTCTCCAGCTAAAGTTTAACATCTTCTCAGGGCAGATGCTTCTCACAGAGGGAGGATGCATAGGGACCGCACAAGAGTGCAGCCTCGATCCAGATTACCACTCCATGATGACAGAGAGTGCACAGTGTAAGTATTCTGATCTTCAAGAAATGGTTGTCGAAACGAAAGACCTTTTCAAATGATAAAAATATGAACTGTGAGCAGGAACTCTGCTACATGCATGGAAACTGCCTAAAAGGCTAACATACAAACAACATTTACACAATAGGCATCTGGCAGCATTTTCAGACATTTTTTTAATTTATTCTGACATGCTATAAAGGAATAAATTACACTGTTAAAGAATTACCAGCAATAAAAGTACTTCTTTCTTTCAGCTGGGCTAGAACAGGAGTGAGAAGGAGGACAGCCTGGGGCAGTAACCAATGTGAACTCTGCATGGTGCAGGGCTGTCCCCAAGAACAAGAGTAAATCTGGTCATATCCACTTCACAAGAACTTGAAAGAAAATGTCTTGGTTTAAAACCAAATACTCCATTCAAATTTTTGTCAAAACTAGCAATCACAAGTCAGTCCATTCGATGCATAACATGGCAACACTCAGAGGGTGCCAATACCAGGTCTGCAAAAGATGCCACTTTGTTTTAAAAAAATCCAATCCTAGTATAGAGGGCTGGTCTCAAACAGCAAGTTATAAAAATGCAAGACTGCCCCTTCCCCCTCCAGGAAAAAATACAAAATTTATTTAAAAACAAAATGAGGAAGAGTTACAACACTAAATCTAAAATGATTTAGAAAGAAATAAGACTTCTTTTGCTTAACAAATGGCCTTGAAACTTGGTTTAAAAACAGGGTAATGTAGATTTTTTAAACTGAATTAACAAGGCAAATTAAAAAAAAAAATCTCATTTCCTTACAGAAACAGTTTTTAGTTTTTAATGAACTTGTAAACAAAAAAGCTCCCGCTTCAAAATAAAAACAAAATCCCAGATCATATAGATGTTTACAGTGATTACATTTATCTAAGCAACTTACATACAGGTTCAGTTGTAAGATGTTAACTAAATTTCGTGACAAATATGCTGTTTTTCCTTTTATACCAAGAACATTATAGAGTTAATGCAGAGTCCTAAAGATTATCTAGTAGTCGCTAAGTTTCTCTTAAGTCTTCACTTTAGATGCTGTTATTTCTAGCACAGGTAAGCAGGCAGAGTCTTTCATATGCTTAAAAACTTGAATCTTTGGTTACTACCATGTCAGCTGGCTTGGTATGTTGCACATAGAAGCCAACAACTTTAAGAATGTTTTAAGTGTACAACTTTCAAAACCCAGGGAGGAAAAACCAGAAAAGAGTGCACAATTGTGAGCATTTACAATTATCACAACTGTTGCCGCAGACTGTTCATGCCATTCTTCTGAAACAATGAGATCTCATAAGCAGTGTAGTTCAAAGTAAAAAGGTAACAAAAATTGGCATATGCACAATTTTCTCCACTTGTGTGTCAACCATTAGTTAACTTTTCCACTTGAAAAAATGCAATAGAAAACTGGACACCATGTTTCACTATCTCAGTAATATTCACAATTACAGCTGCTACAACTCAAAGTGCAGCATCATTGACACTGCCCAATGCCAGTTTATACTGATATTAAGTTCTTTACACCAAGTAAATGGTTGCCCACAGCCACTGGCAAGTGTACGTATGAACTAAAATTTCTAGGATTTGGGGAGTGACAAGTCCTGCTCCGGTCTGCTCTGCTTTGTCCCATCCTCGCCATGCTCAGAAACCTGCAAGATAAACACAAGGGCAATTTACTGATAGGGGATGAAAATGAGAAACAGTCTTCACAGCAGGAGAATTAAACATCAGTTATGGTCATTCAAAAAGGGAGAATGCTGCTCTGTCTCAGAACCGTAGAGTTCCTGGTGTTCATTTCCAAAGCTAACCAGCATTTGCCACCACCCTTTAGCTCAGACACACTCCTCTCTCACACCACAGACTTATGCACCAGCTGGATGCCACATTTCTCAAATAAGAATTCAGACCAACAGTTTGAAAACAAGACGTGTTATTGCCATTAGGAATCAGGATGTAATTTCATAGGATTGTTTTCTACTTGTTTGCAATGTCTCATGTTTAAATCCTTGAATGTCAAACTCTCATCTGATTGCAGTGGTGCTCTTCAGAGACACAGTACAGCAGTGTCATGCAGACAGAGGTAAAAAGGAACAGGAATAACTTACCTTACAGTAACTGGTGTTCACTACATGCTCACATGTATGACACTCTGGGCAACCAGAACAGAAACAAGAGCCTTTGACTGTGACTAGGAACCAAGCATACCTTCTGTCCTTAGAAGGACAAGTGAAACAACTCATGTGACAGGGGAGGCAGGGCATAAAGAACAATTCTTTTAAAGTTCAGTACTCCAAATGACAAGTTCAAGACGTTGTGGAAAAGGGAGAGGGAGGGAATATGTACACAGAACTCAAAGAACCAGTTACTGCAAGCTAAGCCAGTCTTCTTGCATGTGACTGCTTATATACTCATTTCTGGTGACTCAGGTAGTAGTACTGTGCTTTAAAGAGGTAAAAGGAGTCTCAACCAAAGACTACTTTGCCAAGTAAGTTTCCGTTCTGGATGCCCTCCAAACAGCATAGTATTCTGTCAATGTGTGAATTCATCTGAGCAACAACTCTGAATTTTTGCAACAGAAATCTCTTCATAGTGAAATACAGACAAGCTGACCTCAGCTACAGCCTGTGCTGTCATCCAGAGAGAAGCAAGTGCAAACAAATCATAGACACAGCCTGACATTCAATCAAAAATGTATCTGGATAGTACCCAGAATACAGCTGTAGATCTTCCAGAATAGGCTACAGGTAGTTTAGAAGAGATTCAATAGCTTTGTTTGAACCCAATCTTAATGCACTGAAGGACAATTCTGTTTATCCAGCACTAGCAATTCTCAAAAAAAAAAATCCTGCACCAGTCATTCCCACTTGAGTGCAAATTCTCACACAAACCCCAGTGATTCCTTAGTTCCACTAGCATAAAGTGGTCCATAACCCTTATTTGATGCATACAATCAGGAGTTACACTGTTTTTCCATTTAGTGTGTTCAGCAGTGAACACTGATTCATCATTTGAACCACTTTCTCCATCAAAGCAGCCAGAACTAAGTCAAAAAAGGAGGAGTGTGCTCCCAGTGTGGAAAGAAAGATCAACTCGCTGCTTTAGAAGCCTCGACATTTCAAATGAAAATGGCATCCTGAACCTGAGGACAAAGCACGTACTAAAACAAATGGTGTGCTACTATTTGGTAGGATACCTCAAATCCAAGGTATCATGGGTAAGAGAATGCCAAACTCTACAGAGAGCAATAGGGAACTGGATTCAACCTACAACATCCCTTGCAAGTCCTATTAGGATTACACAGAAGTGTTCCCAAACATGGCCCAATCACAGCTGTCAAATGAGATGCTGAGACATTCCTGCAGCACAGAAGACTTTGCCAGTATGAAGAACATGCTGAAGAGTTTATGACAGCATCTCTCTAACAAATCTTTACTATATACAGGCTCAGCTCAAATCTGCACATTCATCACTCCCTGTCCCTCTGCGACGTCACTCAAAACTTTGATAATCTCTGTGCCATGTGAGGGATACTCAAATTGCTTTATTACTACTATAGCTGCGGATCTGATCAATGGGGGAAGAGTAACTGTACTGTCATAGTCTAAGAAGCTCCTCTACTTGAGAAGTGTTCAAACCTTACTAAGTAGCTGCAGAGACAAATAGTGAAAAGTATTTAGTTGTCAATTGGATAAATCTCAAGTATTAAACTAATAGTCTGTTTTGAGAAATACTGCCATGACCACAGGCGTCCAGTGAATGCTAATGGGACTGCTGACAAACTTACAGAACTCTACACCGAAGTGAATTAAAAACATCTCACAAATGGAACTGACAGACTTTATCCTGGAGATTAAGTGCTTGAGTCAGTTTTATGACTGAAGGAAGCTGACTGTAAGCATTGTTACAAATCACACCTGAACAACTGCCACACTGTCATGATGGAGGGCTAAACCTCCCAGAGACAGCAGAGGAACTCTGTCTGTTGAAACAGTTCACCCCTCCAAAGTTCAAAAACAGCTGATCTTGCTGTTACAAAAGCCACTGCACAGGGTTCCAGAGAGGGACAGGCAAAAATAAAAGAGAAAAAACGTCACTGACAGAACAGGCTACCCTGGAACCAAACAGAATATTCAGCCTGAACAGCCTATAGGACTCCGTGAGATGGTTTAACACGGATCTGAGTTAAGGCAGCTAGGAGTACCTATAAAAGAGCACACTGTCCAAATAATCTAAGTCATGTAAGTCTCTGGACATTATTTGAAAGAGCTAAGATCTCACACACCCCCTGCTCCACTCCCAAGATGCACATCTTTAATAGTACTTGCACTTTATACAGTATACTGTAAGATTTTAACTGATAAATGCACCTGTAAATTGCTATTTCCAGTACTCTCACTAAACTGGATACAGTTACCAAAGGGGTGTAAGTTGATATTGTGAAGCCTTTTAAGCTACTTCAGCACAGGCTTTGCTACAGCAGCTACATGAGAATTTAACTGAACTCTGGAAAACATAAGCCAGGTATTTCACTAAATTTCAATGTGACAGCAACATATAAGCCACCCAGCCTCCCGCTTGAGCTTAGCCGGTTTCAGAAAGTCTTCATTAACAGGCAGTATTTCCCACAAAAAGTCATACAGGATTTTAGAAATCTAGAACCTTAACTTTGATGAAGAGACTAAGCTCATTATTTTAGGAAGCTGGGGAAGTAGTCAGATGTTTGACAAGCACTACTCTAACGCTTTTCTGGCATTACAGCTTGATCAATCCAAAGATCACAAGCCTTTTCTTTGTCACAGGAAGGGAGAGGAGGGAGTCGTTCCCCCACAAGGCTGTTACTCCGTGCAAGAGTCAGCGAAATTCTGCTAGAAAACCAGCAACTTCTCCACAGCTATGGGCCTCGTTTCTAAAGGACAGCACGATGAAAAATGTCCATCAAGAATAAGAAGTGGTCTGTAAGGTTCAACTGCAAGACAGCCTTCTCGTTACTCATGCTTGTCAGTCAGTTGCAGCTTTGCACTCTGTCTCTAAATCATCACTAGAAAATGGAGGCAGATAATCATTATAATGACCTTTTCTTCACTTACATTATAGCACTTGGTCAGAGATCACCTGAGCCAGAGTTGCACATTAAACCTCAGAATACTTCACCAGCAAAACAGCATTTCAAGTGCATGCAACTTGATTTTCAGGGCGGTGTCCATCTACAGATCATTACCTATTGCAAGACCTTCACTTTAAACACAGGCCGCTGTGAAGAATCCGCATTTTTGCTCAAATTATTTCCTCCTGCTCTAATAGCCAACCTCTCCACACCCCAGCATCAGGCTGGGTTCAGTAGTGGGTTCTGAATTCCAGTCAGCACTTCTCTATTTCAGGAAGCAATCTAAGCCTGGATGCTTAATCACCAAGTCTGCTACGTACTGGTGTTGCTGCTGAAGGAACTGGTTCGCAGCTTTCAGTGTTGCAACAGCTGTCAGCTCCAGCAAAACAAGTCGGACTCTTTATGCCACAAAGAACCTGACATTCAGTGGCATCCTATGAACTTTTTTCTTCAAGAAACCATTTCAGACTGAGCCTTGGAAAGACCAACAGGTATTTTACTTCATCCAGAGAAATGAAGAAGTGTTATATTTTTGCATAGCTATTTTGACTAAAGCCACCTGGTAACGTTTGAATGCCACCACACTCCATGAAAACCATATTTTGCCAAGTTTACTGTAAACACGTTTGCATTTCTTTGACTTCCACGTCTGCCATGTTAATTTAATATATAATTTAATAAATATTAAAATGATAGTCAAGACAAGAATGTACTGAAGAGCAGCAAGCAGCAGCAACACCTCAACAGGCTACCTCAGTAGCGGTAACAAACCTATGTTCTCTATTCACACTCAAACAACCTCATTAGCTTCAATTATGCCCACAGTTCATCTTGAGGAATCAGTTTCATCACAAGACTGACTGTAGTAGTCACTAGCTGTAGCAATTTCATTCTAGTGACTTACTAGATTAACACTGGCAGATTTACATCATAAATTTTAAAAAGCTTCTAGAATGTGTAAAAAAAAAAACCCCGTATCTGCCTTTTCAGAGGTCAGTTTTTACGCAATAACATCTTCAATATTTCACAACATTTTCCTTTGAAACCATAACCTAGAAACATTAAAAATAGTCAAGAAACCTGAACCCCCACCCGAGAACATCCAGATACCTCAGAAAATTGTGACTTGGCACAGCCCACAGCAGTTCAGGGTTACTCCCCGATTTAGGCAAGACATTTTGAGCTCACTGGTCCTTTCCTTTAACTCTGGATCAAATGTCTCAATGTAAGCCCACTGGAGGAAGCCAGATCACTCACAATTTTCTGTTTCCAATGCTTGAGGCATACAGAACAGAAGCAAACCTGCAGCACTATACCGGCTGGAACAGAGTCAAAGACAGTTTCTTATTTTTGGAAAGTGGTTAATGCAGGAGCAGAAGATGCAGTGGTTAAAATGACCCAACATCCCCAGAAGAAATGGTATGAAGAACAAGGACATTTTGGTATAAAGTTAGTAGTCAAATTTTCCAAGGACGTCTTTTCTTTTTGCTTTTGAAATTAACGGCCAAATATATTTTTTAAACCACCTCCTTGATCTAACACTTAAATTGCTGACATTGTCCAAATTAGTGTAATTTTTTTTTTTTCCTGTAACGTCACTTGGTTCTTGGCTACTAACCTTTCATGTTACTCTTGGATTTGTCAGTTTGCTTGCCTGTGGGGGTTTGGGCTTGCTGCCCCTGCCCACTGGAAGAGGCTGCCTGCTGTGCTGCTTTCTGCTTTAACATTGTCCAGTCAAACGTGTAGTCATATTGATGGTTCAAGGTCCTAGAAGAGAGTGAAATACTTGACTGTAATACATCATAATATCCTTATTGCTAATACCAAGCCTTTGCTGAAAGTCCACAACTAGAGGTTAACCCTTTTTGTAAGCTGCTTTGGAGATTATGAATGGTATATAAATGCTAAGTATCACTAACTTAATATATTCACTAACTAACTAAAAGGGATTCTTGAAGCAAGCCCAAATACCACCAAGCAGCATTTTCTTCACTGTTTACACAAAAGTCTGCATTTGTAGAAGCACTTCCTTACTACCCAGTATAATTGTTTGTCTGCACTGAGGTTCTCAGTTTTTTTTCCTTTTTTTAAATATATATATAGTTTTAAGGAAAGACTGCAGTATTGTAGATCATCGAATAAAAACTGCTTTGGGTTCCAGAAACCTGGAGGAAGACTCTTGATAGAGCAGTACTAGTTCTTCTTTTGACAGATGCTGTTCACTCCACAAGGCTGAGTTTATGTTCTAGTCTTTCTAACATGCTCAGTGAAACAGTACTATTTCCCTCCACTGAAATCCAGTTCCTGGGCACCACTGCTAGTCCCATCACCAATCTCAAAACATAAAAAGCTTCAAATACTTCTAACCAAGGGATCAGTTTCTTAACCTACTTCCAATAGAGCTTGAAGGATGGGCTCAACTCTCTAGCATTAATGGTCAGATCACGCAAATAAAAAACAATAGAATCTTTTCCTTCATGTTTAATGCTAAACAGTATTTTTCAGGTCCTTTAAACAGCTTGTTAAACTCTGAAATGGAAAGAAAGTCCCAGAAGATCTCCCTACACCACACAGATATGAAGCAGCTTTCTGCAGTGCAAGTGTCACAAAGCAGTTAGCAACTGGTAAAATACTGACAAATTTATGTACTTTTCCACTTTGAGACTGACCTGAAAAGAATACGGAATAATTGCCTCAGATACATGTAATCTGGTGCCTCTTCAAAGCGCAGGCCACGACAGTAGTTCAGATACATGGCAAATTCTGCAGGGAATCCCTGTAAATCAACAGTGTTAATCAAGTCATAGCTTGCAGCAAAAAGCTTCTAACAACCCTGTAAGGAGGCAAAAAGCTGTGTTTGTCTATAATGGCACAGAAAACCTGATTGAAGATTCGTAACTGTAAATTCCACTTTGCCTATAGTTATTCATTTATCCTGTATTACAGAAGGTGGATTTGATCCGCAAGTTACCAGGTACACCTTCCTTCCCCAGAATTGTTACCTGATGCATGTGTTGCAACCACAGGTCCTCTGCTACCTACCAAAACCTTCAACATACAACATATTTAAAGCACTTCATCCTAATTAAACCTACTTCGTAATAGTCTCTGAAATAAGTAGTAATTGTCTCTTACAAGATTCCACTCATGTTTCCTTGATAATCTAATTGAGCATATGAGAGGCAAGGTCAGTTACCACTATTAAGTGTGACGACTGAAACCATGAAAATCTCTTTCAAATACTCCCTGCTTTACATATTCATACATTTACATGTAGGCTTTAATGTAGCATTAAATAGGTAATAGCATACAGCACAGTGCTGTACTACAAGAAAGAGCACACAGGGAGTAACAGTTCAGCAGTTTGGAAGATGCTGCCAGACCGTAAGGGTATACACATGTGCACGACTAGAAAGTGCAATCCTTGGTGCTGCTGTTTGTTGTGCAAAAACTACCATGCATTCTCAAGGACCTTTGTTAACAAGCACATGGCTGCCACAGTTCGAGAGAAATCTTAAGATCCAAAGCACAGCATTGGAAAAACGTAATTTTACGACATGGCTTTAAAGATCACTCGACATTCAATTCCACTACAGCCTCTATTTCACATACAGAAGACACTATGAACAATTCTGAAGAGGTAGAAACAAGTATATATGGACAAGCTATACAGCTCTACCTTGATTTATCCAAGAGAGCACACGTAGTACTTCCACTGTAGAAGCTGAAGAAATGAAAAAGCCTCACCTAAGAGCTGGAGGGCTTGCACAGCCAACAGTCACCAAGAGCTGCAATAATGATGGCATGAACTACACTAAGAAACAGCAGCAAATGCCCACCCTGTTACACACATTCGCAGTCTTGCTGGGTGGCCAAAAACAAGGCACCCACGAGTGCCAGAGAAGCATTATTCTGCAGCAAATGTCTTGTGAGATTATTTAATACATTTGCTCTAGTTTAAAAAAAAAATAACCAACAAACAAGAACTTCAATTTCACAGTATGACATCATTTGGAAACTCTTACCTTACACAAAACCTCAACAGGAGTGGACATTTTCTTTTCACTAATCTTTTCATACTTTTGCTTCTTTGTTGCAGCCTGTGGAACATGTAGGTCACAATGTAAGAGGTATTGTGCAACACTGGATTAACAAAGACAGTACCAAAAAAATGACAAAAATCCTTTGGTCAACCGTAAGTATTTTATGTGAAATCTCCAAGTCCCACACACTTATTGCAAGAGAATGAAGGTCAATCTGGTATTAAGATCTGGACACAGTTTAATACCATTTGTTGCAGTCTAATGCTTCCATCACATGGCACAGATCATGTAGTTCTAGCTGCTGCTTTTGTCCATTGAACAGACCAGACTTGCATTTACATTTGCCAAAGTTCTATTAATTCCCACTCAGTACCCTATTCAAGGGTTGCCTGCATGTTTCAGTAAGCAGCTATTACATTCATCTGCAGCTGAAGAGTTCTAGTGTTTCACAAGCTGCCTGCCTTTTTAGAAAACTTGCAGCTGCAACACCATTTGAGTTACACAACTCTCACATGGAGGAAGAAAAACAATTAAAACATGAAAACATATCACTGCAGTCTATATAACAGAAATATCTGCCATGTTTGTACTTGGCTACCATGTATGAAAATACTTGAAACAAGTCTGTTGCAGCTAACAATTATTCAGTTGTGCTACAAACTGGACTGAAGATACTACAAAGGCAGAACTTGCCAGACAAGAGAATATTTCCATGCTCTCTACAGCAATTCAAAAGCCACTAACAATGTTATTTTCTACATCCCTAAAAGGGCCTCAGCCCACAACAGGAGAAAAATAATTAGCAAAGATGACGTAAGCTATTGTTTAGCATAAACTTTAAGACAGTAAAACAATACACATCTTTGCCTGCTGCACAAGAAGCAGAAAGAACCTTTCTTCTACATTCTATAAATACAATGCCTCAGGAAAAGCCACTTTCTATAACTGAAGCTAAACACTATATACAACCATCTAACCAGACCAGCAGGCAGAAGCACAATACCCAAACACGAAAAAAAAGGAGGAAGGGTGGGGACAAAAAAAGGCAACTCAACTTACCTTTAATCCTTGCCAAGGCAAACTGGTTCTGTTAAAGTACATCAATACATAGCCTAGAGACTCCATGTCATCCCGACGACTGAAGAAAAAGGAAGAACATAACTAACTACAAAATTTCAGCATTTCGTAATTTATTCCAAATAGTGCAAGCACTCCAAATTTAAAAAAAAAAAAAGAATAATTAAGGAACAAAACCTAAGCTTGGGTGCAAAAGAAGGTCTTTTTAACACAGCTAAGACATCTAGATGTTCAGGATTCCACTGTCAGGCATGTAACAAGTCTTCACAAGCAGAAAGGAGATCCTATTCATTTTTCAAGCAAGGAATAGTCAGTAGGTATTGTGTCTGGTAAGTTTCCATCTGCAGTTACATTAGAATAACTTGGGAAACAAAAACTTTGGAAAATAAATGAAGCATCAGATGTTCTTTCCATTTAATTAAGTAGGTTGGATAGAAACAGAAGTTCTACCTGTACAAACCATGGAATGCATTGTAAGAGATAAATGACATTTGCCTCAACTTCTTTAAGGAAGATTTTTCCCTGAAGCTTGCCTCAGTCTGAGACCAGTAGTGAACATCTAGCCACAAAATGGCATAACTCCTTTCTTTCTTCACTTCTGTTAAAAAACCCTGAATTGTCTCCATGATTTTTAAAAGACAAGCAATATCTAGAAAGGTGTGTGCATCTGAGAGGTGTCTCTCCTTTCTTCCCACAAGTCTGTTTCAAGGCAGCTAGGGAACTCCTCAGTTATGGATCCACAGACTTCACTGGAAATTTGCATGCAAACTCTTATCTAAAAGACTTAAAAGTATTTTCTTGTACTGCATATGTTCTAAATCCACACTTCAGCCACACGAACACCATCATACTTTGCTACACAGCCTTCATGATTACTAAGGTTAGTACAGTTCAAAGTGGAAAAAACGCTCCATGATTTTTTTTTTATGATTTTTTTTTTCCTCTTGATAAAGTTGCCTCTTCCCAGCTGTGGTACAATCAGATTTTTCCTCTCACTGCCCTTCTGCAGCTGACATCTATTTAACAGGAGACAGAAAAATATATTTTTCTCCTCACAGCTCCCTTATCAAGAGAACCCGACAGGTATCGCTGCTGCTTTTGTCACCCAGGCAGACCTGCAAGAAAAGCATTTAAATAGTAACAGGAAAGACTACACACCTACTACCCCCACAAGGGAGCAAAAGGGTGACAGCAGCATTGTACACAGGATCATACACACCGGGGAGGGTAAACCAGCTCCCTTTAAGTGAGAACAATCTGTAAGAACCTGGATAGATCTACCTCCAGATGCTGGTTATCAGAGGAAAGAAGTTGCAGGTGATGCTTTATGTTACAACCAACCCAATATACCCATTAATAATCACCAGAATGACCTGCCTGTTACCCCTCTCAACTCATGTTCCAGCTCTCTGATCCTTTGGGGAACTAGTTCAGGGAGTTATTCCAGAAGAAAATCAGCTTGGCTCCCTAAACCATTTCACAAGGCCAATAAAGGACTAGCTGTGCCCAGGGGTCAGGGAAGAGAAGACTGGTTTACTCCTCTTGATAGCAGCTAGCTCTGAGGCCATCTCAGCTATAACATGAGACCACAGCCAAAGACAGAAGGATGAACAAAGATACTAAGACCATAAACTCTAGCCTGCAAAACTTGCTAGTTTTATGAGAATTGCAGATTTTAATCATCGGGAGGATTCAGTGAACTGGTATGGGGCCAGGACACAAAATTACATTTTCTGAGAAGGCAGTGGTAAATTCAGAAGCAACAAAGGGATTAACAGCTTCTATCCCCCACCCAGTTCATTGTTTTAATGTGTAATTTAATGATTTTGTAGTAGAAAACATTTAGTTCTGTAAATCTGTAATGGATATATTACATTTGAGCACATATTGATAAAAGTGATTTTCAGGATTTGGAAAACAGGACAATACTCTCCACTATCAAAACAAGAAATGGATAATACTACAAACAGCTCCTTGAGAACAGCTGTCATTACAACAGAAAAAACAAGTTCTGTAACAGTTAAAGCACAGCACTAACAGTTGAAATATTCTGCCACAAGCTTGAGGACTGGTTTCTCTTGATTACAGGAATATATTATTTGTTTGCCGCACTATCGGCTTGATCTATACAGTTTAATGGCTTTTAGCATATGCAAACCTACATTTCTAATTATATTAGAATTCCCAGTACCAGCAGAGATGGTGTTAAGACCTACAAATAAATTAAAAAACAATAGTGCTCTGCAGTTCCCCCCCTTCACTGTAAGGTGCTAGCACAGCTATTTCCTTATTCCCTTCCTTATTTTTTCTTATTCCAAGAATGGCTTGGGTTCTATGAAGTGTACTTACTTCAGAAATTACACCTGTCATTTAACCTACTTGACCCACGCATCAAGTAGGCTTAAATAATGACAATGACAGACAATAAAATACACTTAAGGAACCTGTAGGAAATTAAAGCAGAGAGAAAACAGAGCATTTTAAAGCACTGAATATTTGCAAGTTACACGTTTTGTTGAAGTTGTCCACTAGAAATTCCATCATTCCATCTTGATTAAATTGAAGGTCAGAGGCACAGACATTCATAGAAGTTTTAACTACATCTAAGCAACTTCAGTATGTAGTAGTGTGGCTTTACGACATCACTTATACATGACAACATCTAGGCATATAGCTAAGGAAGAAAGGCATCACTTCACTTCTCATGAGTACGTAACATACACTTCCAAACAACCTAAAGTGCTATCTCTACTGGAATGCTGCTAGGATACTGTAGTAGCTGGATGCTTCTGATCCAGTGGATAAAAACGTGTCTGTTGATTAAGCAAAAGTCAAACATATAAATACATATGTATACACAAATACATGTGTACATATATGCATACAGACCCACAGCTATGGTTGTGTATACCAAAAAACAAAATAAGAGTGTGAATGCAGCAGAAGGTCTTTAAGTCTTGCTTGCAGACAAAAGGATAAACAATAGTTTACTAACTTGAAGGGAGAATGAGAAAACAGGACACAGACACCAGCTTTAGAATACCCTTTCTGGCTACAGAATTGCATCTCCAGCCAGTCAGCAGCGGCATCAACAGGTACCAACACAATCAGTGAAGTGCACCATTTTAGACAGATCCACACGAAAGTACAGCTTATCCTTCAAAAAAAACGAAACAGTGTTCAGAACATCCACGTCTTGCCTGCAAGACTTAGACTCTCTTCAAGAAGCAAATTAGGTACTTGGATTTTTGACCCCTATCCTTGCAAATAGGCAGCCAATATGAAAAGAACTGGAAAAGGCATATACATATACTCATTCACATGAAATTAATCCAGACACTTCAGAAGCTTACAGATAAGATCATCTTGCAGCCTCCAAAAGCACCGCAGTAATCTCCTTGAACTCACCTCTGCTCAATGCCAAGATGTGCATTGATACTGGCATACCGAGCTGTGCCAGTGAGATTTTTGTCTTCTCTGTATGGTATGTGTTGCCTCGTCCTGTTGTCCCGGTACTTTTTGGCCAAACCAAAGTCAATAAGGAATAACTTAAATAAAAATGAAAATAGATTATATTCCTATACAATGCAAGGAACCCCCAACTTCTTTCACTAGGCATCAGCTACATTTTGAGACACCCACACAATGTAACAGCCTACAGTTAAAAGGAAGCAAAGTAACAGTGCAGAGTAGCAACCAGCTTTAACTAGCCAGTTCAAAAACTTAACAGTGAATTAGTTCAAGCCTTTTCTCAAACCAGTGGAACAGATTAGACTGTGCTACTCTGCGTCTGTAGCTTAGTTCTACAGGTATTTTATGTTACTATCATAGTTTGTATCACATTAGCTTGTTAAGTACAGTGCACAATTTAGCAAGGAAACGAATATGTGCAAAAGCACACTTCACAAAACCCCACTCGCACTAGAGCAGTTTATACATACAGATAGTTAATGGCAGCTCAGGAGCTTAATGCAAGTGATGCACATCCTGTATTCTTTTCTAAGTCTCAAAGAACACTGGCCAGCCTGCCGAGCATAAGGCCAAAACCTTCAACAGCAAACAAGACATCTTGCTTTCAATCATATGCTCATTTTAAGACTACCAGCACACTACCACAGCAGCATGACACACTTGCTGATGATATTTATACAGCCAGGAAGCTAGAGGCCAGTACATGGAATCCAATTTAGGTTTCTAATAACCAAGCTTGCCCCATGATTCGAAATTTAGCAACAACTGAAAGCGTGCCAATTAGTGTGCTAACAGCCAGCCTATCTACAAAGGTTAATACAGACTATACTTCTTGCAACAATATTTCAGGACTAGGCAAAACAGCTGAGGAAGTACATAAGAAACTTTTAAAATTCTAGCAATCAGTCTTCAAACTACAAATCACCAGGCTGAGCTCCCGATTCCAACGCTGGATTAATGCTACAGGATCAGGGAGTACAACCCCTACAGACTAATGAATACTGCAAAAGTAACTTGGGTGCGGGAAACAGATGATGGGAAGATGACATGAGGTTCAAGAAATTCTCAGTAAAATCCTATTCAGTACCACCCTTAAAGGTGATTCCAGAACAGAAGATGTAGCTTTAAATGCAAACAAGTATTGGAGATTGACATGCAGATATACTTGCATCTAAAACTGAAACAAAGGGTCATTCTGACACACTGGAAGCACTGAGAATTACAAAGTGACACTCAACATGAAGTATCAAAGATACTGAAAGACTGGAAGTTTCTGAATTGCACACTAGTCTAGACAGGAAAGAACAAATCTAAAAACCTCATAAGCTGCTGATGTCGGAGCAGAAAACCTTGAGTTGAAGGCTTGTCATGATTTATACGCAATCATAAAGCACAGCAGCTCTACATTCGCTGTTCTAGTGAAAGTGACCCTGAAAGCCCAGAATGCTTTGAGCAAGAGGAAGTAAAACCAAGTTTTAATTCAACTACACTGGTCACACAGTTCAGGAAAGTGGGGGTCTTGTCGTTGTTGCACTCGCCACAGCTACCACCAGAGATAGTTATTCACTTAAGGGAGCACAGACATGTTCTTCAGCTACCAGGAAATTGGCGATTTTGATACTAAACTCCTTAAGCAGATAGTATAAAGCTTCTGATTACTATACTGCAAACACAGTTTTCCTAGAAGCAAAGCCTGAGCTAAAATGCAATCCCTTATTTTCTGATGAAAGCTTTCTGACCTGATGATAGCCTGTGATTTATAGTTTGCAACAGCTATTTTTGCAGGGACTTTGCCTATTAGTTTAAGCAAAATACTATGCCTTGAGGAGGGAAAACCAAACACAATACACACCAGTCAGAATATTTTCACTACACACTTAGTTACGAAAGGTTTAAACAATTCCAAGTCTTCATATGCTTTCTGTAATGTCGGGGATCTTGCTGTTAATTAATGGTATGAAGGGACAAAGTCAGTTCATGAATCAAAACAGTTAACATGGAAGTGTGCCTCTAAGACATAAATAGCTGGTGTCTAGCTCTGTTTAGTACATACATGGTAAGACTACTTTCTTCAAAAGAGTTATAGAAGTAAATGATGCTCTGCCTCTTCCACAGCTGCTAAGAGCTCTCCTCAGTATTAGACCTGAACAAGGTAATTCTGCATTCTCTCAAGAGGTGTGGGTAGAGCCTCTTAAAAAAAACCAAAAAGGAATCAATTCAACACCCCAGACCTGTTTTACACTAGTCAAGTAATTTGATACGGTTTTATGGCACTGATTTCTCTGGTGAAGTTTACTCTGTTCCCTAGCTTGGGCTCATTCAGTATTTCCCATTCTAGATGGGCGGAAGGTAAACGAGTAAGTCCATCTTGCAACAGGTTAAGTTGGAAGATATAGCTTCATTGGATGAGCACAGAATGTACTGGTGCCAGCCAGCAGGAACACAGATTTATTGCCACAGATAACCTCATACCACCTTAATTCTGTTTGTTGCACGATCAGCAGGGAACTGGAGAAGTAGGGCAAGATTTTTGCCAAGAGCAACCAGAGAAGCAGATCAAAGTCTCTGCGTCAAATGATAAGAAAAAGTTTCAGAAGCAGACAACAGCAGCCTGTCAGCTTGTGTGGAGCAGCTAGCTGCCTGGGATTTAATACATGAACACTATCATCGTGGAAAGCTAGGGACTGATTCTATGACCAAACTCCTGAGCTATGATTCATATTCAGTAATTTCCAGCTGTCCTGCTACGAACTGGCGTATGTCTTCATTTCTCTCCAATTCATCTTCTGAGTCAGGAGTACTACATTTAATACTAGGATAAGCTCATGCTTCTCCAAGACACAGCTTGTGTCATTTTATAAGCACAATGGATGAAAATATGAGAGTCCTCATCACACGTTTGGAAAGATTTTGAACAAAAACTGCAAGGGAAGGAGTCTGGCTGAAGCAGTAGCAGAACTTCTCCACACGTGTTCAAAGACACTGCAGAAACCCTACATGAAGGCAAGCAGACAGCCCTACGCAAAAGCACTGCTATTTCACTACAGTGGCACGTCTATCCTTCAACACATTCAACAGACTGAGTTTTAAAGGACAAAAATAAAACCACTTCTGCAACTGAAATCAAGCACACACATTTAGACCTTTTTAATATCAAGTTTAGAAGTAATTCCACAATTTAAACAAGTGCCACAGGGAAACATCTTAGTAATGTTACATGTTTGCCAAGTATGTCTGAATAATGCCAACATAAGAGGTGCTTTCGCAAGGTCTACATTCTCCAGAAATAAAAAAATAAAAACAAAACAAAAATAAAGCACATGAATTTGGGGTTGAGGTTGGAATAGGAGACAGTTCAGACCTGGTTTAATCCTGAGAAAGATGGGTCCTGAGAAGTACTAACAGTCATGCTTCTTTTCCTCTTCCCCACTGGAGATTCTAAACACTGAACAAACAATAGAGGGTGGCAGTGCATCAAACAGTATTGCTTACATTGCAACAATGGCCGGCGCAGACAGGCAACACCGAGGCGTTCGAGAAAGAACAGGGTAGCCAAATGCCATCCTTCTTCCACCAAGCACTGTAGTTTTCAAAAAAACTATATATGTTCATTTTTTTTTTTCAAGGAAGAAATTTGAAAGATGTGACAAGGTAAATTTCAACTGTGAGCCGCTCCAAAATGGCACTGCCTTGACCAGGGATAGCAATGGTGACATTTGGCTCTATTAAAAATGGAAATTAAAGTTTTGCTTACAAAAGCGTCCTTTGGTTCCACATACTGCCCTTCCCCCAAAAGACATTTAGAAAAAGTAAATCTTCAGTAAGGAAGAGGTAGAAGGCATTTAGTCACCTTAAAGTTTACTTTCATAAGCATGCAGGGCTTATTTCTAGCAGAGCTAAAAATTCGTCTTTTAAGATGGGAGCAAAATTTCTCCCTATCACCAAATTAAAATTTGAAAAAAAAATCAATTTAATTTTTTAAGAAATATAACTCACAGGAAGCTACTGGAACAAGATTACCATGCTATTCTAGTCTTTTTGGCTGATTTTCTTTAAACTGTGCATAGTTACCTCTAAAAAACCCAAACCTACACTTGGTTACAAAAAGAAATAAAGTAAATACTGTATGGTGGCAAGTGTTCCCTAGATACAGCACCTGGTTCCAAACTGAAGCAACCCACTCTTCGTATTCCTGGTGTACACATATCAATTCGCACTTCTGTCAAAAATTACCTCCCTAACCTCTAAAACCCTGCAACAGTAACCAAGCCCATGCCCACAGACAGTGTTTACCACCATACCATTGTGTGGTTCCCTAACTAGTCTACTAATGGGAGAAATATATAATGGTTTACAGGCAATTTTGTTTTTCACTTCAGTTGATGCAAATCTAGTATATTCCTCCACTAAAGTAAGCACAGCAGCAATTTCTAGGCCATTAATCCACATCAAGATGAAACAGTGCAACAATGCCAACCTAGCATGACTGTGCAAAAGTATAGAAAAATGGCCCCAAAAGAACAACTGGAAATCAGAAACTAAAACTAGCAAAAAAATTACAAATTTCAAGTTACACTTTAAGTCATGCCAGAAAATTAAGGAGCCTAATGGCTCGACACAGCAGAGAAAAATAGAGCTCTACAGAGTGAAAGTATGAAACTTGGGAACAAGCAAAGTTTAACAGCAACAGGATTACATAAAGACTGCCTTTCAGCTGGACTTACAAGCTTTTCCAACAATGGTTGTATCTAAACATTCAGTGCACTGCACCTCTTCAGACAAGAGCTGTTATCTCATGTTAATCAAGCTTTGCCCTTGTATTGTTCATGGCCCTGAAGTTGGCATTCATACAGGCAAACAAAGGTAAACATTTTAAATACTAGTAGTGCCTAAAAAGATGAGACATTCTCGGATGGCATATAGAGAAGATAAGTGGGAATCTTGCTTCCAATAAACAGCTTGATCACATACATTTGTCCTGAAGTTAATTTCTATTAAGTAGCATGCTTAATGCATTGCCAATGCTGCCTGTCTGCCCGAGCTCGACATACAAATTGCAGGATTAAGCATATTTCACTCAAGAGAACTAAAAATAAAATAAAAAAGTTTTCTAATATATAAGGTTTTTAACAGGGAACATGCACTTCTGACTACGTTTACCCATCCAAACAAGTGCAACAACCTCAGCCCGCCCCCCTGCCCTCCTTTGTTTTTTCCCCACAAAGCAAACAAAGAGCAGTTTTTTGTTGTACAACATATCCAGGTACTCTACAACTTAACAGTTTTCCATCAACATATTTACATAATTTTGTTTATTTATAAAGGCAATTGATCTATATGTTGGCTATTAGTTATAAGCACAATTCTGATGGCTGAAGAGTTCTCTCTACCAGTCTGTCACTGCAAGGTTTAATGCCCTGATGACTGGCAGGTCAGGAGCTCCTGCACTGGCATGAATTCTTTTCACCCCAGGAAGTCAGCCCCAAAGCCAGAGATTACATTTGACTTTATCATGGAGGAAAAAAGTGCTATTACAACAGCCACCTCAATAAGGAGACTCCATCATCGAGAAAAGTAGCTAAGTATTCTCCAGGGTTAGTTTATAAACTTGTTGCAAGCTTAGAAATCATCTTGCAATCAAGTGCACCTCACAAGGTGGGTCAGAGACCCGCATGTGTATGCCGCTGCATTTAGGAAGTGGACACTGAGAAATCCACGTTCTCACATCAAAGAACCATGGTTTTGCATCCAAAACACCAGTTTTAGCAATGCGTTTTACAAAGGTCGTGCAGATTGAATCAAGTAACATAGCCATTCCCTTTAGGTCTTTTAAACAACGAGCATTAGACTAACCTTATTACAGTGACGCCCAATACCCATTAGGAAGTTATCTGGTTTAATGTCTCTGTGTATAAAATTCTTTGTATGCACATATTCAATTCTACTGATCATCTGTAAAAAAAAACACAGCAACATAACACGTAAGATTTCAATGAGAACAATACAATTCTCCCAGACATTCAATGAAAGCATGAATTTTTAGTGTTACTTTCCTCTGCAACTTAGTTTATATACTTGATTAATGAAAACCAAGTCCTTTTTTTTTTTTTTTTTTACACTGTTCAAATACATTTATCTGTCTTATCTTGTTCAGGACATGGCAGATTAAATGCTCAAAACTATTTCCCAGACGTTCAAGTGCATGTTCTAACCATAGTGTCCCATTAAAGAGCAATTTCTTTTTCTTACTTCCAAAGGTTTTCTATACCTACCACAAGATAATTTTGAAGCTCATTCCCACCCCCTGTCTCAGTTATTCATTCATGTGAGTATCACTTTTCCAGTTAACAGTTTTCACGGAGCAAGTAACAACTTGATTGTGGCCCATACTGTCATATCTAGGCTACAGTGATCCCAGAGTAACAGTCAGCAATGAAGTCAGAGAGACTCTGGCACATCTGTATCATCATATACAGTCATGCAATTTCCTGTGCATGAGATCACAGCACATGCATTTATGCAGTACAGCTTTCCAGCTACTAAAACACTCTTAATACAGTCTTTAGTGAGTTGAATTGTTACAACATGATACCCTTGACAGCTGTTCTACCAGACTATGACCTAAAAGCCAGTTCTGTGCACTGACACCGCACATCTCTCCTATGTTTCCCAGACAACAACTAACCTGTGTTTATCATCCAAAGGAATATTGCATGAAAACCATACAGATTCCCTGGAGATGCTGCAACACACAGACTCTAGCTAACCGAGCAGGCAGACAGCTCTCTAAAGCAACTGTACCACTCACTTAAGGCAGATGAGAACAGGGACAGCTGACCTTGACTCCATACAAATGCCGTGAGCTTCCTTGGCCAAGAGCCTGGGATTCTTCAAGCATCTGGCTAAGCGACAACTTGGTACTAACATCAATTACATAATACTAGATGAAATTTAAACTACCACTGAAAATTCAACTCAAAAAACCCTCACTGTCTTTCAAGTAGCTGAAAGCACAATCAAGCTATTTATTAAATAGCAAGAAATAAACATGGTTGGCCATTTCAAACACTGTACTGTCATGACCAAGTTGAAAAGATACCAGCTGCTAGAAAGAGGCTTAACAGACCTCCATTTCAGAGGCCTTGATTAAGTTTGATGTAGCGTGGCATCTCCACTAACAGCTTTAAGAACTGTCTTTAAGCCTAACAACCAAACCAAGATTTATTAGCTCATTGTCTGGTACTAGAAGTTACAGCAGGTTGCAAGTGCATAGTGACATTCAGCAATAGCAGACCCGTAGACTTGCACGCTGCCCGCCTGTCAGCGCAGCTGGCCAACATGTAACAGGTTTCCATTGAACCACATCAGCCATGACTGGAGATTGCTTCCGACATTCCAACACCACCCCCGTGGCTGATATCAGGAGTTAATCCACTCATTAGTCTTGATACTTTAATAAAGTTGCACTTAGATCCACAGTACCAAGGAGTTGGTATCTGCGCTGCCCTCCCACTACAGGCCTACGTTCATTTTGTATGCCACAGCACACAGAAGCCACCTTTACTTCATTCCTATATAGGTCAAATGTTTACTTAGCTACATACAACACTGCATAACACATTATTTAATCCACTTAGAGAACCACGCTGCAGAAAATACTTTACTGTTTTTAACTTCCTCACAGTAAGATTCGTACATACCTGGTCTGCTAACATAAGTACTGTTTTCATCGTAAACCTGCGAGAACAGAAGTTGAATAGGTCTTCGAGGCTGGGACCAAGAAGATCCATAACTAGAACATTGTAGTCCTTTTCTTGACCATACCACCTGCAATGAAGAAAATTACTCAGCATTAGCAGGAATCTTAATGCAGCCCAGGATACCACTAGCCCTCCTGACTGCAAGGGCACATTGCTGGCTAATGTTCAATCTTGAAAGCTAATTAAAAATTAGGGCTAGTAGTGTCTTACTTTTCCTGTAAGCAAAGTCTGAGGACAAAACAGAATACACAAGTTGACAAGTGCATATGCACACACTTCATTTTCCCTTAAGAGGAAACACTGCTACACTTCAGCAGCAACTGAAATACGAGACACCAAAACCAATGTGCAATCAAAGCAGAAGCCATTGTATGTCAACATACTGAGGTGCACATACAAAGTCTGAACTGAAACTTATTTGCAGGACACCTTACACTCCTGTCATTGTTTCTTGTGCTATTTAACTTCACAGAAACATTGCTAAATGCTTGAGCTTTGTTTCAGCTATGACTGCTCTGCAACAGACCAAAGCAGCTCATGCAGTTAACTCACACTATGTCTTCATTCATTCATCCAAATTTAACTAATAGCAATCAAATTCTACTGTCCTATTAAGTAGAACATAGAGGCTTTTTTACCAGGTTTTCAGTATCATAAAGGGAAAAACACTTAAGTGTCATAAAACCAAAAATACAAATGTAACAATGTATCAACTGCAGTGACACAGACTGCCATAACCACTTTATGTGTCAGATAGATCAATTCGGGGCAAAAAAATTAAATGTTACCAATACTGTGAGGACAAGCACAAGGCCTGTCATGCCTATTTTTCCTTCCAATCCATGTCTAGCATTTCTGTCTTAGTATTGCTTTATGTTATCTGCAACTGGGGGAGGGTATTTCACCACCTAAGGTGCCTGAGAAGACCTGGAGTCACACCCTTCACTTCTGCAAATCTCAGCTGTGAATTTCCGTACTTTAAATGGGCACTGAAAGACAACCTGAATACTGTCCTCTATGGTCTTTCTGCACACCCCAGATACCTACAGTTAAGTGAGAGGTGTGTATGAAAAACTGTTTATGAAGCTGTGCTGAGTACTAGCACATCACTATGAAGATTCAACACCGTATCGATCAGAAGGCTGCGTTGTGCCTTTGCTAGGCACCCAAGTCCTTATGACAAGGACCTACTACCAGCAGGTGGCGGATAAGGCACTGACCAGTTCTCTCCTGGAGGAGTCGACATTTCCAACAACAGTGGTGCAGACAAGATTCACCAAAAACAGACCCCGTAAGAGCACGCAGTTTAAAAAAAAAACAAAACAATAAAAACAACCCACAAGATTCATCTCAAACACAGCAGTAGCTGGGGCTTAAAGACCTGTATAGACATTTCATTTCCACTTTAGGCATTGACTTCAGCAGACTAATGCACAGTTGTCTGAAAAAGCCGACAAATTCCTTGGTACTCACACGATTCCAAGCTTAGCCAGGCTAGTAAAGTCAAATGTTTACAAAAACACAGAGAAAAGATTCTATATTTGGATTTGTTTCAGGAACTACTGAACTACTGGCCTGTACCTTCCCACTGTCAGGACTCTAGTAGAAACCATGCACTTCATAATGCATTTTTTAAAAATTGACAGAAGTTATATATGGGCTGTTCTTTTACAGTCAGTCTAGAACCTTTATTAATTCCCTACATCAAGAGGGGATGCAGAAAATATGTATTTTGAAATCACTCATTCAAATGAAATGCCAACAAACCAGTTTTCCTCCAACATGTTCATAATCATACCAATACTCTTTATCAGCTTTTGCCTTCTAAAAATTCATTGAATGTACTATGATGTACCAGAAAAAAAAAAACCCAAACATACAACTGACTCAACTGGAAAAGCATGCTGATGGTATTATTTGATAAAGTATGTAATTTATGTAAAGGTTAATACTCACATTGCAACCTGACACCAAGCCATGAAACATACACATTTTGAAAAGACCTGCCTAGCTAGGCCCTTTTCAGGAGTGATCACAAGCTAGTTTCAACTGCAAGAGCAACCAAGAACAGTATTTAAAACATGCAATGCAGAGATGGAGAAACAGTAAAAATGAGATGCTGTTGAGAAAAGTTCTTAACTACAAACCAGCTTCAGTTCAAGAATTACTGACTGTGCCTGTAAATCTACTCCTTGGTTCCTATCAAAGTCAATATGCAAGTGTCTGAGTAGTTCTGACAGGGCTCTATAAACAACTCCACAGGTCACAGACGAAAAAGAAACAGTATGGTCATCTAGAGCAATGAAAACTGGACCAAATGACCTGTCTAGTTATTCTGTCGTATGAAATTTACATTTGTTGTGAAAAAGCCTAACAAACAATTAGCTGAACTGAAACATTCCAAGGATCAAATCAAGATCTAGGTAAAATATGTTTCTCTTCAAGAAATGGAAGTCCAATTCAGTTGCTGAGTATAGCCGTTCACTACAGTAATGGCTCAGCGCCCAAGAGACTGCAGTTAAGGGAAGAGGATCGAAGATCAGTCTTCAGCTGAGCTAAGAAAATCTAGTTACAGCATCATCAAAAAAGTAAAGCTGATGAAAAAGGAAGCCTACCCTGGGAGCTACATTTTAAAGAGCATTTGGTTCCTCTACAGGGAGATCTCTGCTTAGTAAGTGCAGTAATTCAGGTTGATTGCACAACCTCCATTTGGCCTACTTCTGCATATGCACAAGACAATTTTAATCTCCTGACCATTTTCCAGCAGTGGAAAGCAGAATCAACTCTGCAAGACAAACAGATAATATGGGATCTCTTAACATATTATTTTCATGTTTACCTGCCTGTAATTCCTCACAGAAGACTGCCCCATCTATTAATTTCAACTGACAACTGAAATTTCTGCTAGAGCATTGGAGTAACTTGTACTCTATTTACTTTGCTAACACAGCACATAAGTTTTCATTTCCCTTGGAACATTTTCAGGGAAAACGGGATTAAGAGGTAAGGCTACATCACATCCATTCAAAGTCTAGTAGCTGCTGTTACTGGCAGCTCTAAGTAAAAATGTTAGAAGTCTTGGCCCTTCTTAGGAAACCTTGCATATTATGATACATAAGAGCTTGGCAAATACTCCTTAAACCCATATTCACATAATCACTGTAAGATGGCATACAATCACCCATTTTGGACAAGCACAAATTCAGAGCACTTTGGTATGCAAGTTTTAACACTATGGGGCTAAAGCGCAAAACGATATGGCAACAAACTGAGCACAATTCTAAAAATAAAGCTAGTGTATCAAAGACAAATCTTCAGAAGTTCTAATACTGCACCAGCAATGAAACTTGGTGTGAACTACTAATATGAAGGAATGATCCACACAAAGCCCTGGCCATCCATTAGATGACACTAGCATTTCAGAACACAAGTGTCCTACATGTCTGTTAGAGCTCCATGGACTTTTTTCTTTTTTAGAGCACTTCGAAGTGGATAAAGTGGAGGAAGCAATAGCAGAAATACATTTTAGGCAGGGAGAGTTTTGGAGGGGAGTGGAAAATGGAAGCAAGATATTTAACTACTTTACAGTTCACTTTGGATGGGTAATGACTCTGCATATAGTTACATACAATGTATTATTTCAAAAAGAAAAGCTGAATTACTAGACTAGGAAAACTCATTATTTCTCTAATTTATTTCCACAGTGCAGTATGTCCCATTAGGACATATTTCCTGAATAGAGAATTTTGATTCTGCAGCACAGGTCCATTTATACCTACTTATGCCAAAACCACACACAGATTATAATCAGCTTTCCTGAAGCAGTAGATGATCTTATTGAGGGCTACACAAAACACTGACAGGACAATATTATTAAGAGCTAATATTTATCCTTGAACTGGCAGTGTAACACTGCAACATCTGATACAGCTGTTAAGAACTCCAGCCCACATCCAAGCTGCAAGGCATGCCCAAGCTCATGCATGCATGAAAATGCTCTGTCACTCTCCCTTGCCTCATCTGTTTAAAGCTACAGACCAAATTCCTACAGATCAATTAGAATACAGTAAATATCCTTTATGAAGCTTTCCATCAAAGCATGGTTAAAAATTGAACACTGCGACCGTAACTTGATTTCAGTAACTCGCCTAATTTCAAAGACGAAGACTCACCCTGTCAACAAGTTTCCAAATCATGTGGCCTGATATATTGCCCCAGTATGCCACACAGCTGAAATTTTGTAACATCTTGAATTTCAGTATTTGTGGCTCTATGCTGAACAACAAGTCACACGACACAGCAGTTTGAAAGTATTTATAGTTTCCAAATCCCATACTGTAAAGCAACTATGATGCCAGATCACATGACAAGTGAATGTTTACTTGAACTCATGTGGGGTATTTTTTTTTTTTTTATTCCTTTGCTAACGTTGAGAAGAGCAAGTGAAGTGCTGAAGCACATCTAGAACTTAGTAGCAAATGCTGTAGTCAGGTCTACCCAAACTTAAAATCCTTTTCTGTTTTCAGAGCTGCATCTTTCAAAAATCATATGATGTCTATTTCAGCAACCGCATAAGCAATGTCAGTGACAAAAGACAAGTTTGAGAAAATGTTTAAAAGTTAGGTTTGTGTTTTTTTAAACTGATAAAATGTTTCATTCAGTTACTGCAATAGTCTCTTCACATCTAGCATACTTTCCTTTGAAAGCGTCAAATTGCAGTAGGTCAACTAGCAAAGTGGGCGAAGGGCTAACAGAATTCAAACTCGGGCCATGAAATTACAGGCCCAGTTTCAGACTACTATACCACTTACACAATTTTAGCAGATAACCAGCAGTTTCATCCATTGCAATAGCACTTGTAATTACAACAAGGTAAAAAAGCCAGCACAATTATCAAAGCTGTGTGAACTGGTCATGTGATGAATAAAAGGATTTAGAATATTCACATGAGAAAAATCTCAAATTCAGATCCAGATGACTTATTGAATAACTGTACAGCTGTCAGTCATTGGTAAAGAAACCCCAAATCCTATGCATTCTGAAATGCATGAAGGCAGTAAAGGCATT